AATCCTACTTGTTCTGGATCTGGGAAAAATATGACTTTGAAGGGGTTTTCTTTTCTTCCAAAAGAAATACATTTTGTGTTCTAAAGTTGTAATTGCTTGGTGTTGATTTTTTTTTTTCCTTTTTTCAGTTCAAAGTGCTAAAGTTAGCTCAAAGGTAAAATAAAATTGTCTGAGCTTTTTCAAGCAGCCTGATTTGGAACAGGTAGCCTATGATTTCAGATCAATGGGTTTGAATATACATTTTTCAAGGTATGTTTTTATGTTTACTTCTGTCAGACTCAGTCTTGTAGCATTATAGTGTCTTTATTTGAAATGTTGCTTTTCTTCAGGGTTTTTTTTGTTTGTTTTGTTTTTTTATTGAAACTTAAAGATTTAACCTAGCTTATCAGTGTCAGTCTCCAGACTTTCTCCTGGTTATAAAGTTTACATATATATCCCACACAGGGTCACAAAATACCACCAAGATCTCTGTGATTACAGGTACCAAAATATTATAAAATATATATATAAGATTCTAAATCCACACATTGTACTGCTTACTGAATTTATTTACTGCTGCAATAACAGAAATAATGAAAACACACATTTTTGGCAGATAATGTTACAATCTCCTCAGAGTATTCTCAGTGGCACCTGTACCACAGTTTGAAAACTGTGAAGCTACAGAAAATGTAATTCTTTCCATCAATCTGGAGATATGACCGTTTTAGACCCAGTGCCTATGGCAGGGGAAATATGAAGAAGTGTTATATGAAGAAACTGGGTTGATGGAAAAAACCCTGAAGTCAGACAGTTCAAAAACTTTAACGACTCAACAAGTGCTAACAGCACCTGTGCAAACACCTTTTACTTTCATAGTTTCCTGGATTATAATAATGACATCACCTGTTATATAATAAAAGCATAGTTTTTAAACCACAAATTTGAAAGTGGTAATGTTTCATTTATAAATCTTGAAGGATAAAAAGTGCCTGTTTGAGGTGATCTTGCAATCATTGGTCAAAAGAAGAGAGAACAACAAATGAACATTAATCTAGTTTGTCAAAATACTGCTCCTTGCATAACAGTTTGGTCAGAGTTCACATGAGAACACGTATTAATGTGGATCATTTGAAACTAATCCATTAATTGCTTTTGTTGCATAGACAGACTTTTGCATTCATTGTCAAAGCTTCAAAGGCTTATCAAACCTGATCTGTTGTCCTTAAGCATTAGCCTAGTTAGTCATATTCTGGTTGGTAGCAAAGGGCAAGAAAGAACAAGTGTGAAAGGAGAAAGGGCCCTTATAAGTGCAAGTCAAAGTACCAAAAAAACAGAAATAGCAAATGTTAAAGATCAATTATAAGTGTAAAAGAAAAAGAAGTCTAAAAGACAGATTTGATGCTGAAAAAGTTTTACTTTTCTTTTACAGCATCTTGTATTATTGCTAATTTTGAATTTTTTCATACCCACATTTTTGAAAACAAAATGGCAATGCTTCCTTGTTGAAGTGATGACTGCATTTTTTTTATAACATATCCTGAAGAAAAACCCAGACATATCTCTCATCGGCGATACCGAGTAGTTCATTTTGGGTGATTCTAAGACTTTCCCATAATTCCCTCCATAATCCTTCTAGCATGTTCTGTGTTTGCTTTAGGGTCTCCTCCAAATGGGGAGACACACCATGTGTTACACAGATTTCAGTAGTGAACAGCCATTACATCACCAAAGAAAAACCAGACAGAGAGGAGATGTGTGCTGACAAATTCAGTGAAAGCCGACATATGTGGTATTCTGTCTGACTGAACTGATCCAATATGCAGAAGACACCACTCTATTGGTATGTGAATCATGTTTTCCAGTATCAGTGAGGGATGGGTGCTGTCGATGACTTAAGAAGCAAAACATTTGAATAGCATGTTAAAAAGAAGTGTGACGTGTATGTCAGGCTTTGCATCGCTTACATAATTTCAGACATTATTTCAGATGTCTGAAATTAGGGGTTATGTCCACTGTTCAATTGATCTTCCCAAAATGGAGAGTCAGACCTAAAAAAATCAAGCTGTAGACATGATATTAGCTCTACAATCCAAAAAAACCATGTCTTCATGGAGAGTGGGCCAGGAATAACTTATTAGTGAAGAAAAATGGCAGTGGGTTCAGTTCATAGTTTGTCACCAGTACTGCAAAGAACATATGCTTGAAAATGTCCATAAAGTGACATTTCACTGCTACCATTCAGACAAACTTGCATTTTCATTTGTTAACTTTTTGGAAGCTTCCTCACATTTCACCATAAGGAAGTATACATATTAATATGTAGAAAACCTGTTAAGACCTGTGTAGTAGTACAACCCAGCCTCAGGTATCGCTATGAACATGAGAGACAAGGAAATGCTGCATCAGTTACAACTTACACGTAGCTTGGTTTTCCGCCAAAAGCGGATAGAGGAGAGTACTGGGAAAAGTGAGCGGCAGGGATTTAAGTGCCTCCTGTAAAATGATACACTTAATGGATAAATTGGCTGATCACAAAGTGCAACTAAAAAATAAATAAAAATCAAGATGCTGGTTGAGACAGGTTGGTTGACTGCACCTTAACACAAATCTAGTTCTTTCAGCTAAAGGTTTGGCAGTGTTAGTGTGTATCCACCCTGTTTTGGATGCGAAAGAGCACGCAATTGTCATTTGCAGTTGAAATGCTGCAGGCTAAAGAAGAGTAAAGCTTGATCAAAGCATTCTTCTAACACATTGCACTCAATTAAACAATGCTAAAAGAAAAGTACTGGAGCAAGAATACTTTCACAAACTTTGATCACCTGTTGGAGCAGTATCTTCGCTGAGCTTTTTAAGTGGCATCACTTAAAAAGCTGATGCCACTTGATGATGCTGATGCATCATCAATACCAAACTCTTGGTTTTGATGATGCATTTTTAGACAAACTGATAGGAGAGAGGATGCAATTGACAGAAGGCAAATATGTCAGCACACCACATTTAATCCAGTACATAAATGGACTGGATTAAAATGTGAGAAAACTTTAGGTGGAGTTAATGGCTTGATAAGTCAAAACTGGTTTCCTCAACAAGAACCTGTTCAGGACAAGTTTTTCGTGATCTCTACAAAATGACGACAGCAAACCTTGCAAAAGGACTATGGTCGGTGTGTCCAAGGTAACCAACTCTGGCTCTGTTTTATGTTATTGTCCTACTGAAAGGCAAACTTGGGGTGGCTAAAAGCTTAGGTCTTGGTTCAGTCTAAGTGAACTCTGATGTGAATAGAATCCATACGTGGATGGAAGCAGATTGGAGGCCGCTCCAAATCTCAGACAGGTGCAGCTGCTCCAAACCTGCTGCTTGTGTTCTCTTTAAAACCAAGAAGATAGAGTACATCACCCTAGATCTCAAATTCACTGGTTCCCTGAAGCTCAGAGAATAGACTAAAATACGTTTGTTAGTTTAATAATGACTGAACAGCTTAGCACCAGAATACATAAAAGAGCTGGTCATTCTATCAACTCAAGTCTTCTCGTTCTAGTTTACTCTGCATCCTCAGAACCAGAATCACACAGGCAGAAGCAGTATTCAGTTTTAATGCTGCACAAATCTGGAGCAAACTTCCTGAACATTGCAAAACACCAATAACTCGGAGTTCCTTTAAATCAAGCCTTAAGCGTTATTGGGATGCACTTTTATTATGTAAAGCACTTCCTTGTTCCTGAAATCTGCGATACACACACTCTTGACTCGGTTTAGGTTCTGATCAAGTGTTTTCACTCTGACAATTTCCTTGTCCACTAATCTTCAATTTATCTTGCTGTTATTTGAACAGTTAATTTTATGTTTTCTCCCAGTTTTTTGCCACATTTGCTCTGTCTTTGAGTTCAGCTGTGATAAGTTTCCTGCATGAGGGGGAGGATGCCTAATAGTCTGTTACCAACAGCATTCCAGTGGGTTCAATTCAGTTCAGTAAGGATCATATGAAACTAAATGTCTAAAGTTTAAACAGGGCTAACTTCTTTTAAAACGCTGTGCAATGATTTTCTTTTCATGTGTAACCAACTGTGTAGCTATTTCAAGCAAACTGGAGGTATCACAATTAATCCTCTACAGAAATTACTTTTTAAAATGCATCTCCTTCAGATTTGTAATGTTTATGAACATTCTCTTTCTTCTGGTAAACGTCAGATATGCTTCATTTTGTGTATCTGCTCTGTCTTCTGAAATTCCCATTCAATTGTGGTAGATGGTCGCTTGAATGGCACCAGGTTCTTCTGGAGGCCTATTTCTTTTTTTCTCTCTACTGTTGCTACATAAATGCTCAGGATGAGGAATTTGTCCAAAGTATGAAACCCAGACAATGCTCGTAATTGTTCATCGACGTTCCACGCTTGCCCAGAAGCAGTGAGTGCTGCAAGTCCATGATTTGATCCAATCTGCTGGGTTTTCCTTAGAAATATTTTTGACTTATTTTTCTGTTTTTTGTTTTTATGATAGGTTACAACATAATTGTAGATTTAGAAGTCCAAGTGAAATTCTACTGCAGAGACAGCAAAACAAGTTGGAAAAAAAAAAAAAAATGATTACAAAGTCACAACTAACCAGTTCAGGACCACGTTGTGCTTTGCTTTGAACACATTCTTGCATGTTTACCTTTAGACCTATACAAAGTCAAATTTGACAGCTTATTTCAAATCAGGTTATCTAAATAGTGCCAATTCACAACACATGCTGTCTCTGGGTTCTTTACACAAAAAGAACCCCCATTTGGTTTGAAAACTGAGTTGAAAATATTTTGAACCGTTTTTTTTCCCCCCAAAACCATGTCGTCATCAAAGAAGGATCCCATAAAAGGAAAGTTCTCAGTATAAACTAATGGGCTGCCTTCACAGGGCCCATTAGACGGCCCTGTGAAGGCGGGACACAAAATCTGCAGTTGATTGGTGGAACTATAGCTTCAGGCAGGTGTGATGTCACACAGCACGCTCCTTTTTAATCCCAAAACTCAAAACACAGGCCCCAGACACAACAGAGACTGCCTGACTGCACTCTTGTCTTTATTTGTACTATTTCACTCACCTGAGAAACTACATGTTACTCTATAGTATGTGAGTATATCATTATATGCTAAAAAAAATGCAATCGCATTGTTGGGAAAATGCTTGTCTTTCCTTGCATGAATAGAATATGTTCTTACTTTATTTGTTTTTTCAGTTGCAGATCAAGCCATCTTAGCTCAAAGCCTTCTACCTTAAGAACAGAAAAAAATTGTGTAAATCTGCAGTGGGACAATGAGTAGCTTAAGGTAAGTTACTATTTTCAATTTCAGAGATCAGGCATAATATTAAGACCACCAGAAGTGAGAGTAATTTTGTCATAGTGGTATACAGACGTACATAAAAAAAAGTGACTATTTTGACTGACAGTTAATGAAGACAAATGTAGGACTTTGAGCAAGTTTTACTAAAAACAAATAGCGACTGCTGGGTAAATAGGTCAGGACATTGGCAAACTGTAACTGTTGTGGTGTGCTGCCAGGCTGCAGTGCACTGTATCTATCAAAAGGGGCCCAGGGAAAGAACAGCAGTGAACCTGCGATAGGGTCATGGCCAAGGCATGTTGATGGATGTGAAGTGAAAAATGTGATCAATCACATTTCCGCCTGCATTATGTTGATATCTGGGTGTGTATGCATGTGCTTGTGTCTTGCCTGGGGATAAATGGCACAAGAATTCGCTTTGGCAAGAAGGCAAGTGTGCAGAGGTTGTGAGGCGTTGAGTAAAGTTTCGCTGGGAAAATGTAGGTCCTGATATAACTGTGCATGCTACTTTGTAGTCTACCTAAATACCTACATGTTCATACCCCCTGTTTTCTTAAAGCAAAATATTCCACCTTGCAGCACAGCTAAATATTTTAAAGAGGATAATAATGAGCTTGAGGCGTTTACTTGGACCCCAAATTTTAATCCAGTCAAGTAATTGCTGTACTTACAATTTCACTTCATGAATCCCCCCATGCTAATTTCCTGCTAACATGTTGGTGGAACAGCACAACATCGGGGCTCTAGTGCTGCCCATGCCCTCTTGAGCTTCGGGATCAGCACATTATTAGACATTAATGTGGTCATGTAGTATGCCTGATCATGATTATTTTTGGTGGCATTCACACAAATATGATTATGTTGAATATCATACTTCCATATTTATAACAATGTTTTTTTTTAACCTTCTCAGAGTTCTTCACCCACATCCTGTGGCAAAACCAGACAAACTGTCAATGAACTTGGGTCAGCACCAGCCTCTTCATCAACCAACAATGATGGCTCCTCTGAAACTAACGCAGCGATTTTATCCACCAAACGACTATCCACGAAGAAACAGCCTTCGCTTTGCATATCTGTCCTCCTCTCCACCCTCGTCATATGTCCCTACAATGCACCGGAGCCGTTTCAGCAAGTACAGCTTCAGCACGCACAAGAAACGTGTGGTATTTGCAGATGAGGTGGGGCGGGCGCTGACTGTTGAGCATGTATTTACCCCCGATCCCCCATCCCCACCTCCTGCTCCAGCAACAAATCCCTGTTCACGCCATTTGGAAGGCCAACAAAATCCTGCAAACAGAAATGGATCACTTACGCCCAAGTTTGGCCTGGGTTTCCCTCAGCCTACAAAGGACTCTGACGCATTTATTGCTTGCCTGCAAGAGAAATGTGTACAAATGAAGAGCTGCAGCATTTCAGACAACACCTTGATAGGTGAAGTGTGTGTTTTCCATAGTTGCCCAAAAAACACCGTAAATATGAAAATGACTTTTGATTCATGGGTCACCAGCAAAGAGATTCCCTGTAAATTCCTTGAGCAGAGGCAAGTCAATGGCCTTGATGTGGATGTGTTTTTCTTTGAAGCATGCCTGCCCCAAATTACAGACAAAATAGAGCAGATTGAGTTCTGCTTCACATCCAGCCCAGGGCTCAGCTCTGTGCTTCACTGGGATGACAACATGGGACAGAATTACAAAGTACTGAGGGAAAAAGTTGAATCATGTCCAGGCAAAGACTATACAAAGCAGTTTTACCCCTCTCTTTCAAATTACCAGCTACCTGTTTATCCACAGTTTTCTTATTTCCAAAAGTGTGAGAATCTGACTTACCTCCACAGCCATCTGCTAACCAGTGGTTTTAGGTCTGCACACTGCAAACCACTGTGTTGGCTGGCATGAAACATCCAATATAGTGGTATGTTAGCACAAATATTACTCTGCACAGAGAATACCCTGCTGTAATGTGACTAATGTATTATTAAATTATTATTTTATTTTTTTTCAACTGAAAATGAATGTGTGTGTACAATCTTATTAACAAATACAGTAAAGAAATTAGTGTATGCTACCTACATTGGGTCAGATTCTTGCTGTGTATCCATTTGTGGACTAAGGCATGCCAGACAGAAACGGGTCAACGAAGCAAAAATAATCTTCTGGAAAAACAGTTTAGTTTGAAGAGTATGTCCCAGACGCTCCCTTGGCTTCAACATTCTTGGAATTGTTACATCTTGTTCTATAGATAACTGGTTTGACAAATTTGAGACGGTATGTACTTTCCTTTTGTATGGACTTGTGTTTTCGAGAAAGGGTGGAGTCATTACAAAGCATCTTAGCAACTGCAGTGAGAAAGTTCTTGTTTCTTCAGTTTCATTTCCACCCAGGTAACACTTTTTTTTTTCTTGACTTTCAATTCCTTCAGGCTATCGCTGTCCTGTTTCAACCTAAGTGAATGTTTTCAAGCTTGTGGTCTCAACTGGAATGTTGTATTAGATCTGCTTACAATTATCTGATCCTTTTCACATTTTGTCATTTCAAAGAAATGATGTATTGTCTTTCTATTTTTTCCTAATAAACATTTGAAAAGGGAGGCATGTCTTTTTTATTCAGCACAACTGAGACAATACTTCAAATACAGCAGCAAGGCTGTTGGTATGTTTCTCTCAGCTTTGCACATCTAAATAAAGTGCCTATTCTCATGCAAAATAGCTACAGCTCATATGTAACAGAGAGTGTGAACATCTTTTCCATAATCTTTTATAACATCTCAGTTTTTCTTCTGCAATTGCTCTGCTAAGCTTACGCCACCTTCCCATCAACTCTGACCAGCTTCACTGTTACTATAGAAAAACATGCATTCCCACACCATCATTTATCACCTCTAGGTGAGGACAATCCTCACACCTAAGGACAATTTAGAGAAACCAATTAACCTGTCAGTCACGTTTTTGGACAGTGGGAGGAAGCCAGAGTACCCAGAGAGAACCCTCACATGCACAGGGAGAGCATGAAACCTCCATACAGAAAGACTCCAGGCCAGGACTGAAACCCAAAGACAAATCTTGCTGTAAGGCAACAGTGCTACCAACCATGCCACTGTGCAGTTGGTAAGACTTCTGGCCAAACGTTTAGGCCAGAAGTTAGACAGCAGGTGCAGCTGATCCAGAACGCTGCAGCTTGCATTCTCACTAAAACCAGGAAGATGAAGCACATCACCTCAGTTCTAAATTTCTTCCTCTGACTCCCTGTATATCAGAAAATAGACTATTATAGACTAAGAACACCAGTTTATTCACTGAACTGCTTAGCACCATAATACATTAAAGATCTGCTGTTGTTGCATCAACCTTCCAGACCTCTCAGAACATAAAAGCAAGTAAAGAATTTTAAAAATCACATTATTTTCATTAACATTCCACGATGAGGTACTTATTTGAGTTATCTTTAACATACGAGTCTAATAAAATACATAGAATTTTGTGGATACAAATGAGACAAAAGGAGAAAAAGATCAAGGTTTATTGTATGGCATTCCACTTGCACCCTACCTAACCCAACCCTAATACTTTATTGCCAAAGGAGAATGTGTGAAATGCATTCCTGTAGCCATTCCCATGCAGTTGGTTTCATTTAACATTAAGGTTTCATAAAATGTGTATTTCAAAACAAATCCAAATAGAACAGGTTGGATATAGGTTGCTGGGTGTTATGAAAGGGAGTGTCCTCAGAAGTTATCTTTTTTTTTTTAAACAAATTAATTCAAGAAATAAGTTAAAGCCCATTTAAGAATCAGAAAACATTGCTATTACAAACTCTTACACGCAAACTGAAAACAAAAACAGATAAGGAAGAGAAACCTTCTGCACTGTCCCAAGGGAACCCCCAAGCAACAAATCCAGGAACATTAGCCAGCATCAGTGAACACAAGCACTCTGGAGTGTTTACTGTATTGCTGTCAAGCAATTTAAACTGGTGATTAATCACCACGATTTTTGTAGATAACCATGATTAATTGCAGATTTTGGTGCAAGCTGATTTATTTGGTAGACTCATTACATTTTACTCACATCAGTGATTTTTCAATTATGCTCCCTACAACTGCACATCAAAAATATTTCAAAAATATCAGAAAATAGTCCTCTGAATTTTTGTTGTGGTGTACAGTAAAGAGTAAATCTTGTGCAGATGCAAAATGGGAATTAGTACCTCTTGCCTTTGAGAGTAAAACATGAGATTGCATCCAGTGTAGGCGTCTGGCTACAAAGATATTCACTGCAACGAGTTGTGAAGCATTGAAACATACATGCACTCTCACATTTTATTTGTATCTATCAAGCTGGAACAAGCTTGATCTTTTATATCTATGAGCTCAATTAGGTCTGTTTAGTAGCATGTGGTATTGCTAATTGAATTCATGTGCTCAAACATCACAGTAGAGTGAAATTAAAATATCTAATCTGACATAGGTACAGCTGTAAGACCAGAAGTGTACGTGAGAAGTTGATGTTGATTTTAATCTGGGAATTTATATGGAATCTTGTTTAGGTATAAGCAAAAGGTGTCGGTGCTGACAGGTTCTAACCAAGGCCTCTGGGTGTTATATAACAACAATTAAGAGTGTTACAAAACAAAGAAAAATTACTAACATAACCAAACAGAAACTACACCAGTCATAAAATGTGTCTAAATTAAGCATATCGATTCACATACAAAGCTATTTTTTATTTTGTGGTTGTGTGGCGTTGTGCAAACACTGCTCTGCTGAAACTCTAACTTTTAGGGAGTGTAGATCATTAAATCCTTTTATAACAGAAAGCCAACTATACATGTCAAGGACTGAGGAAATGTAGAGTCAGAGGAAAAGCTAATTAGAGGAAAGTAAAAAGTGTTTCAATGTAAATTGTGAGGGAGTAGTCAAATATGATAAGCATGTGCTTCTCATTCAGCATGATGCAATTTAAATGGATGCACTAAACTGGAGTTGAGGCAATATTATCAGCCATAACATCTTGGAAATAGAAAATAGAATTAGATTTTTAATACTTGGAACTGAAACAGTAATACACAAGTAGATTGGATGAAAAGATACTGAAAAACAAGACCTTGATCAAGACACCTACTCAAAAAAAATTGTTCCTTAGCAGGCCTGTGGAGAGTTAGGTAACATGCTGAGGAGGAAGTTCAACCACTGGAATCAACTATATTGGAGCAAGAAAATTATCTTACTGGCTCTTGAATATCTGTGCTGGATGTTCTTGTTCAAAGTTTCTAAACTTGTTAGAATTTGTTGTCCTGTGATATCAATTTCAACTGCAGTCTCAAGTGTTGTGCTAATTGCTTTAATTCCTGGATTGTAATTTCCCCCTCCTTGCTGAAAAAGTCTATAGTCAGGACCCACAATGAGGATGGTGTGTAAAGGAGTTTTTGTTTGTTTGTTTGTTTTCTGCCACACTATGATACTTTGCATGCAGTCTAGAATAATGTACACAAAAGTAGACTCTAGTTTATACTTGACTGTGTAGGGAAACTTGTGTCAATGTATTTTATTTAGGGTATCAGAGTAAATAGAGCTAAAGAAATGCCAAATCTAGTTGGATTCTCATTTGTAAATTGTTTAAAAACTATATATCATTTTCCTTCTGCTTCACAATTTCACAAAACCCTGTGTTGGTCTGTCACCCAAACATTTGTGGTCTAAATGTGAAAAAATAAAATAAAAATAATCAATAAAGTGCAATAATTAGGAAGACAAATTGGTTACGAAGATATCCCAGCAGTATATTTGTATGCAGTGTCATCCATATTTGCCAGCATGCACCCATACACTGTGAACTGGGAGATAATCAACAGAAAATTTTGTAAACTCATGGAGTCTTTATAACAAAATATGTACATGCAATATGTTTCATATTTGTTAAAAAAACAAAACAAAACAAACTGGTTAGAATTTTTCATGAATTTTTCATAAATCAGTTTGGTTGTTGTACGGAAAAACTGATACCTATCAGCAGTACTGGCACTTTTAGTTACCATAACAGCAAAATATATACAAAGGGTGTAACTTGAGAAACTTTCAATAGTCTAGTATCACTTTTTGTCAGTGTGTCACTCCTCTCATTTTATCTTTCAGCCAGCAGCAGCCTCAGCTGGACCATGGCCAGAAGTCAGCTACCGGCTGCTGAGCATTGTCTGAAAAATGGGCTAAAGAGTGAGTCAGTGGGCTGCAGGCTCAGCAACGAATCACAACAAGCGAGCGGTGAGTTGTTAAAGTAGATGACACATTGCCAGGCTGAGAACATAACCAGGAATGAGGTAATTTTTGCCTGTTTGCCAAACAGGCTGGATGGTGACCAAAGTCTATGTGAATCTTCATTTCAGTTGCGGTTGTATAACCATCTTGTTTATGATTCAGATATTGACAGCCTAATTAAAATGAATGAAACTTCTAAAGTTTGTTGTCATTTTCAAAGATAAAGACCAAGCTGTTTTCAATTATGCAATAGGAATTTAATATTATTGCAAATATTTTGTAACTAAACTGCCAGCATGACATAATCATTGGAAAGCACCAGGATAGTTACATGAAGATTGGTTTAGATTAGTCACTTTCCTAAAGTAATGGCTAAAGCTATTTTTTGCCAAAAGTGATTTTTCTGTTGCCAAAATCAGTTTTGGCAAAAAAAAAAATTACTAAGGTCATTCTAACAATTTATAGACCACTTAAAAGTGAAAAATTTGAGGATTTAGGTATTGAAAAAAATATTTATTTTCCTCTGGGAAAAAAAAAGTCATTTATTATTTCTAAATATGTTACATAAAGTGAGAAGAACAACTGTTTTTGAGCAAGTCAATGCTTTTCTCTCATCTGACACACTAATGGGATAAATGAGAAACAGTGCCCTCTGCTGACTGTAAACTGCACCAAAAATTGCAATTACCATCACACTCAAATGAATGGTAAACATGATGATGACATATAGGGTGAGACATAGCAGCAAGTCCAACCAGAAACATCCAGGTGGAGAAAAGATGGATGCTTAGAAGGCCACATGTGAATCATATCATTAGTAAATGGTGCTGTAAGGTGCATTGACTAATGGACCTTACAGAATTTAGAATGTGACTTAGAATGACGCCTGATGAAGTAGGACAGAAGTTTGTAAATGGATGTGGCACAGATTCTTTGCTTGACGCAGCAGTTTGTGCAGGACTCTACTGACACTGGTCACTTGGCAGGTGCTCATGTTCGGGGTTCCACTCTGACCTGGCGAAACACTCTGCGGCTTTGCGGTCGCACTCACAGATGAACATCTCACATTCGTCGTTTTGGTCTAGAGAAGAGAAAGAAATTGTTCCAGTCAGTTTTCAAACTCTGACAGCCAGGTAGTACTGGTGAAAATAGTGCAATGACAGAGTTGTCCACTTCTGAGCAGAGCTTGACGTGAGAAGTGTATATGGATTGAGCCAGTAAAAAGTAGAATGAGTAAATCCACTGTGTACAAGTCAATGAGAGATTTGCATGCCTGCCTTCTCTGTTTTGAGTGAAAGTTACCACGTTGAAATGACGGGAAAAAAGCTACAATGTCATTATCGAAGAGTAAAAGTTCGCAACTCTAGAAAAATAATTTTTAAAAAGTCAACTCACTTGTACAAGAGAGCTTTCTGTTAGCTTCGTCACAGGTGTAGGAGTAAATCTCGGTATAAGGGTTATCCAGGATGGGCCAGCACTCCGGATGCTGCATGGCGTCACTGTAACACTGGTCATGAACCTGGCAGCACCTGTATGGCAAAACTAATTGTTAAGCACTGCAATTTTTAAAACAAACAAAAATATTGAAGATATTACAATAATGACCTATCCAAATCGTCAACGGGTGTGCCAGAGCCTCCGTATCCACAGTAACATCCATAGTCTGCATAGTCCAGAGCAGGCCAGCTGTCAGGCAACAAACACAGGATCATGCCCCTGAACTGATGGAGAGCCTTGTAGTCCAGTGAGTGGGCTGTACAAAAATAAAAGGACATGATAGTGACTTAAACATATTTAGAATTTTTAAAATTGTTTTATATTTTGACATATCATCACTGGAAACTTGGTGACACAGGTCAAATAAACTTGATATGAAAAAAACTTGCATCTGTAGTTGAAAAAGGAACAGCAACAATGAAATGTAGCAATTACACTAAATGCAAGTGCATTATGTTTAGCTATCGCATAGGAACCCAGTAAAATACATGAAGGTTTTGTATTTTAAGAAAACTGAATATTTTAGGGAGTATAAATACTTTTACAGTCGGGCAACTTCTGTGAAGATGTACTCACCTACAGAGAGACCAACAGCCAAGAGAAAGACGGTCCGAAAGGCATTCATTCTGTGAGTGAGAGGCTTCAGTCGGAAAGTGACTTTCACTCAAAAAGTTCCTTTATATACACGTCATGTGTGGGTCCTTGGATGTCAGCTGTCCATACAGTTATCAGTTCACACGCATTCACACTCACAAAACAAGCCAGCATGTGTAAAGGTTAAAGATTTCTCACACCTTGTAAGCTTGGATCTCCTATGGCCAAGCTCCCTGCCATAAAGTCACAGAATGTCATTGCTGATTCATCAGTATGGCAAAAATAATGCTTCCTTACACATGCTGAATTAAATTAAACAAGAAAATTCTTCATGTTTTTTGTAGTAATAAAAAGGTTATGACTGATGCACTCTCATCATATCTATGCTTTTAGCTGTCCAGTTATTCAATATTTAAGGGAAAACACATTTAGAGTAAGTTTTTTTTTTTGCTTCCTCCCCCCAAGATGTCAAACTCTTGTTGAAGCATATTGTTGCAATGACTCATAAAATCTACCAATGTACCAAGAGTATCAGAACTGAAACTGATGCACACAGTTTCACAATAATCTTTCAACAAAATCTTCAATGATACATAAACAGAAATTATTCAAGCATCTGGTAAATTTAAAGTTATTTTTAACTAACCAAGAATGGGATTATAGAAAAAAGAATTTTGATTTTGATTTAAAAGTGGAAAGTCCATAGAAACCGTGACTCTGGTTGGACCACTACAAAACTTAACTGTACCTTCCAGTCAGAAAAAAAAAAAATGTTGGTCAAATTAAAAGATTACATCAAATCTGGGGTGGAAATGATTTTAGGATGAACTTAAAGCAATATTGTCTGAGTCAATAAAAGACTTGTTAAAAATAAAAAAAAACGGAAAAATTATTTCCTTTTCATTTATAAAGCTCAGATTCACAAAAGGTGCAGGCAGCAGAAACTGGTACTTTCCAGATCACAGAACCTCCACCAGAGGGCAGATTTCAAAAATAGAATTTGTTACATCAAGTTTTGAGGAAACTACAGAGATAAGAAATGTACAGCTGGGCATGCAGCTCTTCCCTTGTAATCATTTGCTGGTGCACTTGTTTTGTGAGGCTTAGAGTTATATAATTTACCTGTTTTTGCCCATCATTACTTGAGAAATAATTAATTAATTTTCTGGTACAGATCAGAAAGAAATATACAACTCATCACCATATTATTTTTTAAATTGAACTTTGAATAATCAATATTCCACACTCTGATTAACAAAACAGAGCTCAACAGTTGGAGGTGATCTTAATTTAATCTTCATCAAGCAGAAAAATATGACAGCGGTATCTTCCGATACATTGTCATGTTAGTGCACAAATTCAACATCAAATCAATAGTTAAAACTTTTGAGTGAAATGGTTTTTACCATACAAGGCAATCAACACAATAAAAACAATCTGGATCAACAGAATGAACTACAGCAACCAAAATATAAATAATAGAATCTCTAATAGCTCTAGAAAATATATAATCTTTGTCTTGTGTGCTCAGCACTGTGTACATTTCCCCATCAATATAAACAGCAGAAGAGAACACGCAGATAACTGCCTCGGAGCATATGTTCAGTCTGTAACCTGAAGGTTCACATTCTTGATTGGTGACGTCTTGTCTCAACCATGGGAAAGACAGCAGCAGCCTTATTTACACATATTTCTATCAGCATGATTGACGATTACAACTTTGTATATGTTTCGATTTAAAACGCTTCAGTGTCCTACCAAATCATAATTGCTTTCATATGTATTCTACAGAGGAAACATATTCCTGCAAATTAATGTACAAGGAAAGGCATATTAAATAGGAATGTAATAACTGACACATTTACAACCTTAGGTGGATGTTTACAATAATTAGATATGCGCAGTATAAATCACTATAAGTGTGTTTTCTGCTTGAAAATCAAACGACTTTTAACTTTATCTTCACTTATGAAAAAATTGCAATAATCTTTTCTTTGTTGCCTCAAACAAGGTAAATGTTATTCTTACTCTATCATCTTTTTTGTTGTATTTTTCTCCCCAATCAGTCTGCTGACTTTTTAATGCAAATTATAACAAACTTAAAAAAAAAAAAATGCAAAAAAAGCAAAGCAATATTCTCTTTTCACGACACTGACTTTTCTTCTTCGTATTGCTCACTGTGTTGCTTCGGGCATTCGACACACACACACACTGCATCATCTCCGAAGGCACTGGATTGTTACTTTTGAGGGGGCTGGAAGCAAGTTTGTTAGCAACGGCTGATTACCCACAATTCTTCACTCAGTGGAGGATGAAACTGATGCAGACAGCAACCATGTCTGAGGCTTTAGTCTAATAAGATTCAACAACTCTCAGTTTGAGGTTCTAAGTAATCTCCTTTGGCGACCAGATAAGACTCTGATACTCCTTCATTCTGCTAATCTGCACCTGTCTCTCTTCCCATAGTCAAGTTTTGATTAAAGTCTGAGGATTACGCCTTAAAAGTAAAAAAAAAAAAAAAAAAGTCATTCTGGCCATTACTGTTAAAAAAAATGACTTCAAATACATTTTCAAGCACCACTGCAACAGTTTCGTCTGTAACAACAAAAAGGTAAAACATTTAACTAACGCATTTCAATGCTTATGTTAGAAGTTCAAAAAGCTAAATGTCATGTCATCAAAATTTGCATGAATATCCTCTCAAAGGATATTCGTACAAAATATTTGAAATGTTTTGTATGTTTGAAAATGTCTCTGAAATGCCTTTCAACTTGTATAATTTAATATAACAAATCATCTCTCACTGTAAAGAATTACAATTTTGTAATTATGTTTAAATAAAAAATAAAAATAAAATCACACCATTATAGAGTCCTTCATTCAGTAGTCAACTTGGATTGACGTGAACAGGTGAGGGATTTTTAACAGGTTTCATCCAATTTTTCTATTTCATGGAAGAAATTCAAAAACAAATGGAAGAAATATTCTGCACACTTGGTGTATAGTTCACGCACAGACTACTGGAATGAAACATGGCCATTAGATGGGTTTATACAATAAAGTGGTGACATATTTCTTCTTATACCGATGTGTCGCACTAAGCACCATCACTCCATCCTGTGACAAAATAAACACAAGACAGAGAAAAGATTAATGTAAAAGCATTTCACTTCCATAACTTGAGGTCATCAGAAGTATAATAATGGCCTTTTTACATTTTCCCATGGTATATCCAATAATTACAATGCATTTTGCATGAATTTTATGTGGCAAACACTCATCTAGTACTGCATTGTGGAAAAGTAGAGAATACAATTTTCAATCTTTTTGTACAAATAAAAATCTAAAAACTGTAATGTCCTTTTGTGTTTAGTTGCCCTGATTGAACTCCTGAGTGAAATCCTTATGATTTCAGTAAATGTAGACAATAACATTTGACCTGTCACAGTCAAAAACATGCTACACAATAAATTGTATCACCAGTTATTGCAAGTTTATGTTGTCGTAATGTTGTTTTGAGACCATTTTCAATTCACATATTGACAACGCTATAATGTTGTAAGTCGGACCTTTTAAAGACCAATAAACTTTATTTTTTTTATAGAACACTTAACACTGAAAGTTGTTAAGTGTTTTAAATATCCAAATGAAAAACAACAACCAAAAACAATTAAATGGATTGAAGATGTCCTGGAAACAAAATTTCTATTGAAAAAAATAATCAGAATGGAAATTATCTAGCTCATGTTATGGTGCTTTCAATTGCCTTAAATTGAGTAAAAAAATGACACAAAGCAAATACCTTAACTCAACATTATGTTGGAAAGAGTCAAAAACTTATCAACCACACTCTTCCTTAAATGGAAAATCTCATTTAGCTTCTCCCATGTGAACTCAGATCGTTTGTTTTTTCCCTCATTAAGTCTCAAACTACTGTCTCTATTTATATGTTTGCATGCACTTTCTGGTTGTTTTTCTTAAGAGTGGTGCAGCAGGGGAAATGATCTGCCCTTCAGTTTGTCCTGCAATCCTTGTGCCAGCATCTTATCACTGCTGGCATTCCACAGATACGATCCGCTCTGCAGGCTGAGCACATACGCCCTCTATCCATGGTAGCGGTCAACATTTTCTGGGAAAATACCCATAAAAGCTGGCAATTTCTCACAAAGATTCCCACACCAGCATTCATACAGTAAGCATACACTGACAACAGGGAATATGTACCGTATGTGGTTTTTGTAGTTCAGTAGTTCAGACAAGTATGTACCCTACCTTAATTGAAAGCGCGTAAAGGTGATTGAGCATGACGTGGTTCGGTTCTGGAAGTAACGCAGGGTCACACTGAAGATAAGAAAATGGAAAAAAAAAAGACAATCAATAACAACCAACCAGGGCAATCCTATAATCCTATTAAAATCTGACCCACTTACAGATATTCCAGTGTCTTTGTTGAGGATGACTTGGAGGAGGTGTGGAGGGAGGATAGGTGGGGACTTAAACTTTTCATCCTGTTTGGGAACATAAGCATCCTGGTGATATGGGCCAGGCGGAGAGCTGGACAGGTCTAACAAAAAAAAAAAAAAAAAAAGAATGGTTGGATTAATACAAAGCTTCAGATTTCAATAAATCTGAATAATATCAGGCAACCAAAATGTTTTGCAAAAGTATTCACATCCGTTATATTTTTAACATTTTATCATGGTGCAACAAAGGCAACAGTTTGGCCTGTAGAATCCAGTAATTACTTAAATGGACCGTGTCTGATATAATGAAGAAAAAAATATTGAAAAAGCAACACATTCCGTCTGAAAAAAAATCAGATGAAAACGTTACAGAACTTTAGAAAGTCATTTTAATCAGTGAAGTTTATTTATATCGCACATTTCAGCAACAAGGCAGTTCAAAGAGCTTCACATCATAAAAACAAAGTCAAAGAACACAATCAGCAACTGAAACATTACATTTTGCATTTTACATTTTGTTGTAAAAAAACATTTTTTACATGTTTCATTTATTATGCTTCAAAAGCAAAGCTGAACAGGTTGGTTTTTAGTCCAGACTTAAAGGACCTAATTTCATTTCTGAGTCATGCAGCTGCAGACAGACAGTGAGTGCTACTATCTGAAAATGGGGAAAACGTGGAACTGTGGTGAACGTTCACAATGGTTTGTGACCTTCAGTTGTTCAAACATTACGTTCTCTGCACATTATAAGAGAACTTGTAATCTACAGAAAAATAATCATTTGTAGCACACCTTCAAGGCCACGTCTGAATCGCTCAATCAACACAAAATTAAGCTTTCCGAGTGGCCTAGTCAAAGTCCAGGGTTAATGTAGAGACATAGTGTGGCGCGACGTTAAAAAAGCCATTCATGCTTGCAAACAAATATCAATTTAGCTGAATTAAAACACTTCTGCTTCAATCTGCACACTACTCTGAAAATATTGTGCTAAAACCTGCTGTATTATGTGAGGATATTTGCATTTTTCTAGGTCATTAATGTCACATTATACTAATGCAAAAAGATACACTTACTGCATTTCTAAAAAAAAAAAGTAATAAAAAATCTTTAGCAGGCCTTCCATACTATCCGTTTCTGTGTCTTTTACCTGAGGCTATATTTTGTATTCCCTAAATTGAACTTGCTGCAGTGCATGATTAATCAATTTATGTAGCAATAACACAAAAATAAAAATGGTATTAAATTTATGCTTTTAGAAACTTGAATCTGCTTCTGTGATTTTTTTGTGATCAGTTGTTAGCTCTCACCTGACACGTCAGAGGATTTTTGTGAGTCCACCATGAGAGCATCAAACACCTCAAAGTCAGTTTTCTTCACCTGGATGATATTATTAACGGTGCCCAGCTGGCTGGTCACAACAGGCTGTGAAAAGTCATGACATCGTCAAATAAACAGACTTCACAGACAACCCAAAAAGAAATCCACTAGTTAAGGCAATACCACATTCCTTGTAATCTGAAGGCCAAGTTCATTATTTGATCCAATAAGGCCCTCCCATTGTACATCTAAAAGTGCTTTTAATTATAGGAGCTACCAGAAATAACTAGAGAATTTCCACTTAGTGCAAATATAGAGTGAAAACTATAACCTGAGGGGATCTGCACTAATTAGCTAAGAAGTGTGTTAGAAGTGAAGCAGAATACTTACAAGGTGTAAAAAATGTGGAAGCAGCAGCGAGTTAAAAGCAAAGATTCGTTATAAACATCTTTGAAAACTTGACTTCACTTTTTTATTAGGATCAGTTGAGAAGTGGGACACATTTTCTGAGACGCACTTGAGTATTTGCGAAAGTTATGGACCACACAACCACCCAGATTGCTAGAATCCGCAAATACCCGAGGACCTTTCTAAAATTTTGTTCCTAGAAAATCTAAAACTTGGTTCTTCGTCAACAGCTTTAGGAGAAAAAAGTGATCCAGTTCAAAAATAAAACAAAAAAAAAAATAGGGAAAATATCAAAACACTAACATGTGATAATGACTGAACTTCTTATACTTTGAAAGGTGTAAATGAAAGCAATTAGCCTTCAAGAAGCACAAGCTAATTTAATGAATTTAAAGACTAAATATTTTTACCAGAAAAAAATGACTAAATATTTCATAAAGTTTAGACATTATAAACAGCAGACGTCTTAGACGTCAAAGAGCTAAATACTCAAATTTAAATGCTTAAAATATGTAATAGAAAAAGCCTGAACAGATGTAACAGCTTACTTCAGTTGGGTCATGGGTCCACTGGCCATCTACATAAAACTTGTACTGATGTTCCCCCTCAGGTAGATCTACAATTGCCACAAATGTGTTGACTTACAACTGTAAGTACGTTAAACATTACTTAAGATACACTGTACATATTATTAAACATACTATGGAGGTAAACTGAGTTTAGGACATTGCCCCCACCTTCTTATTAAGGGAATCTTATTGGCCCAGTTGTTGAAAGACCCAGAGAGGTAGACCTCTTTTCCGTCCCCTGTCCAGCGAAAAACGGTTGGTCGGTCAACAGCCAGGCCTTTATCATCTGCTTCCAGGTCCTGCTGCCAGGCAAGGAACTCCTCCTTCCCTAGAGGGGCCTAAAACACACATCATAGAGATATGATATGCTGTTTTACCTTTAATATGACAAGAGTTGGATTTCAAACCATCAACATAAAAGGAAATGTGCCTGTGAATAAACATGAATGGATACCTTCATGTCTTCTCCGTGGAAAATATCAGCATCCTCTGGGCTATCCATGAGAATTTTGGGTCTCTCTCCCTCTTTGATGCCCCGGCTGTCTCTCCGCTGAGCCTTCTCCCCATGACCCATTCCAGCCCGCTCACTGCTTGTGTTCCCCATTGTTTTGTCTTCTTGTTGGCCGTCACAAGGTCACTGTGAGTGGAGTTAAGTTGTGTACAGCCATCAGAAACTCTGATAGTTTTCTGTTAAATAATTTAAGTAATCATTGACAGCTGCTGTGGGAATAAGGTCTACATGAGTTATTTATTTCAGTTCACATTTTCATTTGTCTTTTGAACAATAAAATCCATGAAGGAATTTTACAGGTATAGCATTTTATGAGCTATTTGAACAAAGTAACCAGCATGTTATTTTAGATTCAACGTGATCCTCGCATAACATTTCTCCCAGCGTGAATTCTTATCTCTGTGAAGGACCTCAGGGTTTGTGTGGAGAACCTGTTAGTTTCTTTGTAGCTAACCAACCTGTTAAAAGTATTTATTATCACCTAAAATAAGTCTACAAATAAAATTATCTAAGATTCATTAACCTGACCATCTTTCATGCAGGTGTAAAAGTGCCGAGTCACCACCATGTGGGTCAGGTAGTTTGAAGTCTAGGCTTTGACTGAACTATTCTTTTGTTTTGTGTGTGTGTGTTCAGTCATTCTTGTTGTAAATTTGATGCTGTGTTTTGGATCACTGTCCTGCTGACGACCCAGCGTGGGCCATTCAGCTGTCGGAGGATCCCACAATCGACTCACTGACTGAACTGTGATCAGGTTCTAAGGCTGCAAAAAAATAAATCAATAAATCCTTAGGGCTCTATCTTGATGAATGATATTGGCGGTTGTGCTGATATGCTGTGTTTAATTTTCCAGAGAGACGGGGCGAAGCATTATGAGCCAGTATTGATCAGTTCATCAATCTGACTAGATAAGCAGCAAGTGGAGAATACTTCTACTCTTAAATATTAATTAGATATTGGGTTAAATTAATTGACCAGGTTTGTGAGATCAGTGTGGAGATTTCTAAGGTCATTTCTGTACAATACTGCTAATGTTCCAGTGTTGTGTTCAACCATTTAGTTCACAAAAAAAGAACAAGTTTGTTCAGTAAAGATAATACTTTATCTATTACTGGCTCAGGCCAGTCTTCATATTTGACCAAACTGGTCTAACAGTAAGCACAGATAGACTCTACAAGCTATTTTCATAACTTGCACTTGAGTTTTAAGATTATATTGTTTTTAAGCTTTGTTGTCTTAACATGTTTAATATAACATATGCAATTTAAAGTGTTATGCACCAAGATTGAATCTTGTTCTCCAAATTCAATTACTTGTCAATGACAGTAGTAATATTACATTGTCTTTGTTTTCAATTTAGTCACAACTGACAATAATGAACCTGAAACAAACCAAAATAAAGAAATCATTTTTTGCACATGTATGTGAATGCTTTTGTTCATAATGCTGCATGTTTTACAAGCTTGATTATGATTAATCAAGCCTTCCCTAAATATAAATCAATTTGTTATCCTATTTTAATGTAATAAAAACGTCTCAAGTCGAATGAGACTGCAGCATGTATTGTTTTCAGCTATAAATTTGTTACAATTCCAGCATCATGTTGTGTAGCAATCCAAATAACAATTATTGTTGTTTTTGTTCAACTCTAAGGCAGGTTTAGTACTAGACTTTAGTGATTATATGTCATTCTTTTAGCTTAACAACGACAGCTTAATAATCCGTTTTACTGTGTAAAAATCAAAGAAAAAGCAGAAAACATCCGTGGGTTGACGCAGAGCTGGATCAGTTCATATCTGAGTTAAGAGTGGATTAGCAAAAATAATCTAAACGTAGTTGATTTTCTAAGAGAATCAGCAACATTGCGCAGCTTCTGCACATAATTTAGGAACGGCAGGGTTAAAGCTGAATATAAACTCCGGCGTTAATCATCTCCATCACTGCTCCTTTCCGAGAAAACCCACAGAGGGTCAAAGCTAACATGTTGGACTGAAGCTAACAGGGCTCCATCAGTACGTTGGCGTTCGCTTGCTAAGAGGCTGTTTCAAGACTACAGCTAATGAACTCGTTACGAAAACAGCTGTTACAGATGCAGGTGAACGTGTAAAGTTTTTTTTACCTCAGGAACGTTTACCGTCGAAGATGCCGGTGTCTCATAGGCTCCATTTCGATGGATTCTGATACAAAACGCTACAGGGTCCAGCTAAACAAGTCCGCCCCCCATCTGCGCACGCGCACACGAGCTAAATGAAATACATAGTAACTGAGAAAAACTGACACATGTCCAATATTTAGTCAACTCTTGTTAACTAATATAAAAAGGATTCCCTAATTCTGACCAAATGCGTTTATTTTAGGTTATGTGAAGGAATTCGCATCTTTGAAGTAAATGATGTAATTTCGTTTATCTAACACTAGATGGCAGTGTGGCGCAAGTGCAAAATATGCTGATATTCAAACAAAACTTCAATACCACCGTCACCGTGCCTTACAAACGTTTTTACAAACCTTGGGCTATATTTTATTACATTTCAACAACCTAGTTGTTTTATTTAGACTTTATTTGATAGTCTAAAAAAAAGTTGTACAGTTTTGTGAAGTAGAAAAAATACAAGTGATTTTCTTATTTGTTTAATAGGTTCCTCAGAATGCTGCTGTGCTTTGCATTGGTCAGCCTGCATCTATGCATCTGTAGGTTTAAATTTTATCTTATTCTGCTCCGCAAAACTTCTGAAACTCAGCCAATTTTTTCAGACATCAATTGTGAATACTAACTTTTAAATCTTGCCACTGATTTTTTTGAAATTATATCCTAGAAATGGTTTCTAGAGCATTTTTTATGCAAATATTGATTGTTGAAAGTCCACAGTTTATCTTGGACGATCTTCTGAGTGAGGTTACTATAACTTGAAATTATTATTAAAAGTCCATTTCTCATAAAACAGCTCAAATGCAGGTGGAGCTCTAGTTAGAGTCAGAGTCTGTTTTCCCTCGCTGCAGGGTAAAAAAAAAAAAATAAATAAAATAGCTAACCATAACTACTTCCAACAGGCCATAATAGCAGGTCCTGCAAGGTAAAGTACACACCTGTATTGACAATAATGTCAATACCTATCAGAGTAAACTCTTGTTTGTTTGGATCTTTCAGTCTTTTAAATCCACAGGAATTGTTCTTTCAGACCATCTTTCTACTTTTAGCAGGGTTAAGCTTTCAGGCAAAGCACTTGGCAGTGTGGCTCAAGTAAAAAAAAAAACTGTTTTTTTATCTCCTACACAATTTTATAACGGCATCACTTTTGTTTTCCACCAAATGTTCACCTATAAACAACACCCTAGCACAGTGAGATTCTGGACACAAGCGGCTGTAGAGACTGGAGGCTTTGGCACATAATGAGGAGCTGTTTTTTTTTTTTTTTTTTTAAAGGAAGCCTTCGAGCAGAATGTCTGATAGAAGTTTCATTGGACTGATTTTATTTTTTACTGGAGAAAAAGAAAAGTCTCCCACAGGGCTGATACTAAGACTTTCAGAATGGACACAAGCCTAATTATTGGCATGGACATAGTTCACTGTCGTGCACAGATGTCTATTCACTGTAGGTGTTTATTTCTAGAAATCCAGTTCACTTCTGAACTGCTTTTATGCCTAATTTTACAAGTTGGGAGTGTTTACTTCTTGTATACACGCCTGTGTATCCCACTGTCTATTTGCATATTATGTAGACAGAGCAGAAGGAAGATGCATGCCCCTTCTTAATGACGTCTCCTGCTTTCATCAAATGTCATTAAATTAACTTGGTCTGAAAATACCCACAATGGATCTCTGGAAGCGTGCTGCTGTAATTGTCTTGTGTCAGCTGTAGAGTCCAAGGGGGTTCCAAAGAAAAACTCACAAGAGAAGATTTGGATGCTTTCTTTATTTTTGCTAGAATATTAGGGATATTTTCTCATGTTAAAAATAAATAAATAAACAATTAATAAAAAAATAAATATAAAAATCTTTTTTTTTTTTATTTAATGTGTATTTTTGTGATGGGCATAAAGTGGTATCGCAATTCTAATGGCAATTGGAAAATGAGGGCACTGTTTTAAAAATTTTGTATTCATTCCCCTTTACACCTTTTCCCCTTCAATAAAATAATGAGCAACCACACCACTTGCTTTCAGAAGTCTGCAAGCCTAACGTATACATGCAAGTGGCTCACTAGTAATAGGTTGCAGTTTTTTTATGCATTAGCTTTTTTGTCTCACTTCAATCTTTTATGTTATTCAATAGTTTTTCAGCTCGTTGTATATCTCAGAGCACTGTTCAATCCATCATCTGTTGACAACCTCTAATGTCCAAGCTGAGTGTTAAAAGTAGAATTCCTCCACTCAGCAAATTTCCCTGCTTAAAGGGAGTAGGAAATTTGGGTTTTATTTTGGCCTCATCCATCTGTTCTGTCAACACACTGCTTTTTTGTTTGGTTTGAAAGCAAACATTCATCCTCAGCCTGTTCCCAGACATATCTTAAGTCCTGAATTCTGGAGTCAAACAGCAGTTGTTCAAATCAGACAAAAAGCCAGTAGTATCTTGCTCTGGCGTTGTTGCTCAGTGTGCCAAAGTGCTCTGTTCGTATTAAAGTAAAATTTGCATTTCATTTGGAATTTAAGCTCCCAAAGCTGTGATAAAGACTGCAAAATATATAACATGTAAAATGCTGAACTGGAATAATTGGGATTCTGCTCTGTGTTCGCCTCTAATCTTTCAATTTCAGCAAATACGTTCTTTATGTAAAGACTTTGCAGGAAGAAAACGCACAATGAAAAACTGAGATATACGTTTTACTTTTGGTTACTTTTCTGGATAAACATTTTTCATTATTTGGAAAAAAAGATACAAGAATCATAAAATGCAAATACAAAATCACATATGACCAAACTCATTCACATTTGACCAAGCATTCTGTGCATCAATTAGCATGGTCAAGAGGCTAGCAATTGAATCTGTTATGAAACAATTACATAATATGCCCATCAAAACCATTTTTCTCCCACACTTTTTGTATGCTTAGTTCACTATCTCAACAGTCTGACTTCCACGTTAATATTTGAAGTAACGTAACTGCAAGATTGAACTCCAATCATTGTTTGCACACAGTGAAAATGTAGCAAATGTTTAAAAACTATCTGGCTGCAAATTAAAGTTTTTATTATCCTTTTTACTGCTTGTTCTTTTTCACCAACCAGATAACTTTACATTATAATGTGACTGTCCAACTCCAGCCCTCATGGCTGGTGTTCTTCCGGTTTTCGACGTCGCTGCTCCAACACGTGATTCAAAAGGTCCAAGCACTTCATTAGTAAGACAAAGTTCTGCACAGGCCTGCTGATGAGCCATCAATTCATTCAGGTGTGTTGAATGAGGGGAATAAGTAAAACCTTTGGGACAACGGTCCTTGAGGAATGATTTTGGAGACCAATGTACAATAGCATTTGATGAAAACAAATATTTCATGTACTCCATCTGTCGCCTGGAACGTTAGCTGGAGATAGGCACCAGCACCTCACAACTCCACTAGGGACAAGGGTGTAAGAAAATGAATGGATGAAACTATTTCATGTGCTTGATGTGTGAAGTCCACTCAGCAAGAAGAAGGTAGCCTCATGGCAGACACTTCCTTCCCCATGACCTTTGGCCTTTTTAAGGCTGGGAGTTTTTAACACTCAAATCTCAATCTCCAGTTTTAAGACTGAATCAGTTTTAAGGTGATTTCAAACAAAAGCCAGTTCATGGTTTTGAGGTGGATTATTCTGTGTATCTTTGTTTCTTCATTTCATCAGTCTTGTTTCTGTTTTCAGTCCTTCTTTGTGTTTCTAGTTCTGTTTATTTTGTGTCCTTACTTATTCCTTGTTACTCTGGTTTAATAATATTTCCTAGGTGTAGTTATTATTTAGTGTTAGATTCATTTTCTAATCCATGGGGTAGTCTCTCTTGCACCCTGTGCAATTTTTTGTCTCTCTCTCTTCCATCACACCTGTAAACTGTTAGCACATCTGCCCAGGTCTTTTGTTCCAGCTTTCACCCTCACTGTATTTAAACCCTTCTCCTGCTTATACTTCTTGCTGATTTGTCCTGTTATATCCCCTGTTAGTTATGGTTAGTCTCAGTAAAATATGTATTATTTTCAGCTTTGAAAATCTACCTGAAATTCAAGAGTTTGTAATAAAAAAAAAAAGAAAAAAAAAACCTCTCTGCCTGTCTCTGGCCAGCTCTGAGGAGAGTATAGCACCAGGTTGGTGGCAGCTGGTGCCACCAACCAAGTCTTGAGCTCAAATGTGATCTCATATGATGAAGAAGAGAAAGCCAGGTTTTTCTCTTGATTCTGCCTAAGGGTAGGGCTCTGCCATGGATGACAAGGTTAAATCTATAAACAAAGGTGGCAGAGGTGACACACTGCTGAACCAATTGGAAAATATTGACTGATATTTTTCCTTTTTGAATTCTTTGAAAGGTGTCATAAGACACCTGTATTTATTCTCATGTAAAAAAACAAAACACACATTTTCTCACTTGGGGAAAATCTGGATCTGGATGTCCTGTGGGACTCTTTGCCTTGCATTGTTTGTTTCTTCACTTGAATCCAAAACTCTGCATAAGTTTTGGTTTATTAGCAAAATAAAATATTTAAATTTGAAGAATCTGAGTTTTGTGAGCAAATGTAAATTCAAGCTTGCGATACAATTCTGTGAACTAAGAAAATGTACGTTTTGTTTACTAATTTCAAAATACATTCATACGTCAATATTACTGAAACAATGAATAGTTGCAACATTAGTCCGAAATTGAGACTACGGTAAATTCAGAAAGCTTCGAGACATAAATAGCTGTTTCAGTTTTTATGGTGGCAATTTGCATCGCTTGCAATCCAGTTTGCTGTGAAGAGTGATGAGATCGAATTCCATAATTAAATAAATGGAAGTTAATAATAAATCATGAAAATCTCATTTACCCCGGCCAAAAACTGACATGCTTGCATGTTAGGTATGCCCCTACCTAACGTCCTACAGTTAGGTAGGGGTGAAGCATTGATGAGCACAAGACGTCTGTCATTCTGATTGAATTAGAAGAGCAGAGTAGTTGCTGCACAAGGGATTGGGGTTTGATGGCATTCTTGTTTTGATCAGTCGTGGTTGCCTCCCAGGAAAAGACCTTCCCTTTCTCACACAACCTGCATTATTGTCTGACA